CTTTATATTCCAGATATCACGGGAAAAATTGTTAATTTCTTTTCATTGTATGGACATTTTGCTATGTCCAACTGGAAACACTCAAAGGAAAACTACAGTTTGAAAGCTTGGTTATTCTGTAAGGTACAAACACGTTTGGTATTTTCTTCAAATGTTCAGACATCCACGTTAAGCCAGACACCAGAACATTTAATGAACTTAAACTGATCTAACTTTATTTATACTAGATATCTCTATCAGTTCTGAACAGTTCTTACTGTAAAGATCATCACTATTGATCCAGTGTTACTACAGAAAGAGACCTAAACTAAACTAACTTTCTTTAGACTATATCTCTATCAGTTCTAAACTTTTCTTTCTAATGATCCAGTAAAGATCATATCTTATTGATCCAGTGTTACTACTCAAGGAAACCTAAACTAAATTAACTTTATTTTTACTAAATATCTCTATCAGTCCTAAACATTTCTTTCTTATGATCCTGTTAAGATCATATCTTGTTGATCCAGTGCTACCAATGAAACAAACCTAAACTAAACCAATTTTATTTATGTTAGATATCTCTATCCGTTCTAAACTCTTCTTCCTAAAGATCCAGTAAGGATAAGCTCTTATTGATGCAGTGTTACTACAGAAGAAACCTAAACTAAACTAACTTAGTAATTTAATATTTATATTTTGAACGATTCCCGCCTGGTTTATCGATCGTAACTTCATCTATATATACTAGATAACTAAATAAGTTTTAAACTATTCTTCCCCTAGATCAACAAAATCATCTCTCATTGATCTTGCACATGTTGAAATAATACCAACAGTTACAACAAACCATATTTACCTGTAGCAATTTTAAAACCAACAACATCCCCAGTCAAGACGGTGAACTCCCCCAAGACATCTTTCTCCCAATATGGCAGCTGTGAACTACCATCGCTTGTGTTGTACAATATCACACCATTTAACGGTTCCTGTCTTTTGTCCGACAATGTACTTTCTCGATGGTGCCTTGAAATGTGTCTTTGCTAACATCATCAAACTTCACTGTAACTTCTGGTAGACGCCCACTGAGACTGCAACTTTTACCCTGTGAGCATGTGATTGACATAAAAACAGACGGGGGGAGGGGGTAGAGAATGTCCAACATTGAGCAATGGCTACATAATACATAACTAACGTACATATCTATTTTGTACAACAAACTGGACATCATCTCCTATCAACAAATCACCAATATCCCCAAGAAATTCACTGTAGTGGAAAAATATTTAAAAGAAAAATATAGTATAAAACTTCAGTAGACTTTCTGCGCGAATTGCAATAAGATATACAGAAATATTTTCTTTGTTTCTAAGAACCTTTCTCGATTTATCTAAGTAAAATGCGAGACTTAACAAGGAGGAAAAGGCAAGTCTTTAATTTTCACCTTGATCAAGCGAAAGGTTTAAGCCCGGGAGCATTATTACATGTTGGTGCGTACGGAGATGTAGCGTCGTAATAAATGGCCAAGTTTTTACAAACAAATTTTACGAATATTACATGTTTGTGCTTACGTAGATGTAGCGTCGTAATAATTGGCCAAGTTTTTACAAACAAACTTTACGAATGTTACATGTTGGTGCGTACGTAGATGTAGCGTCGTAATAATTGGCCAAGTTTTTACAAACAAACTTTACGAATGTTACATGTTTGTGCGTACGTAGATGTAGCGCCGTAATAATTGGCCAAGTTTTTACAAAACAAATTTTACGAATGTTACATGTTTGTGCATACGTAGATGTAGCGTCGTAATAATTGGCTAAGTTTTTACAAAGCAAACTTTACGAATGTTACATCTTTGTGCATACGTAGATGTAGCTTCGTAATAATTGGCCAAGTTTTTACAAACAAATTTTACGAATGTTACATGTTTGTACGTACGTAGATGTAGCGTCGTAATAATTGGCCAAGTTTTTACAAACAAACTTTACGAATGTTACATGTTTGTGCGTACGTAGATGTAGCGTCGTAATGATTGGCCAAGTTTTTACAAACAAACTTTACGAATGTTACATGTTTGTACGTACGTAGATGTAGGTCGTAATAATTGGCCAAAGTTTTACAAACAAATTTTACGAATGTTACATCTTTGTGCATACGTAGATGTAGCCGTAATAATTCCAAGTTTTACAAAACAAATTTTACGAATGTTACATGTTTGTGCATACGTAGATGTAGTCGTAATAATTGGCAAGTTTTACAAAACAAACTTTACGAATGTTACATGTTTGTGCGTACGGAGATGTAGCGTCGTAATAATTACAAAGTTTTACAAACAAATTTTACGAATTTCCAAACATAAACTTGTTGCTGTCGTCAGCTATCACAAAATACGTCAGTTGAGTCACGTGAATCGTTTGCAGACCGAAAATTTAATCCTACGTAAAATGCCAATCAGAAGTCATCGTAAAATAAATTACAAATGATCAAATCGTATACATAAGTGAAATAACTGATAGAACTCATTTGTATTGAACAATAAATTATCAATATTGATCTACAGTTAGCAACTATAACGGCCCAAACACAAACCTCGTTCACTTTATCAGCCCTGTCGATGAAGCCAACGATTCCTTGAGCGAGCACACAATTCCTTGAACGTAAACAGGAGGCGAAGCTTCGAGCAGCATAACTCCACGGCACAGCATTGTCCATTTTAGAGTTTTATGAACTGTAGCAGTGCATCAAACAAACAACAATTTGGACATGGCTCGTAATTGACATGGTTCGTGTAAATAATAAACGTTCATGTTATAGCGTTAACCAAAGCGTTTTCCTGTGTAAGGTAGCATATCAAAACGTAGAAATAAGGAGAAAGACTTCACCAAAATAGAAAGAACATTCTTAAGACTGCGCCACAGAATAGATACATACAGAACCGCCACTCGATGTCGGAACCTTTGATGTTCGTTCCCAGCATCCGGCAACTTTACACGGCGGCCATGTCCAGCCAGATAAATGCAGCCAGATCGTATATAATATATAGTTCTACGGATGGGTTTTGGCAAATAAACCCAAATATTTTTTAGATTGGCCATTTTTTGATATTTTTTTGTGTGGATACAGTTAACACATTAAGCTCTCAACAATTTATCATTAATTCGACGTCCGTTTTGATAAATGAAGGTTTATTCGGAATATTTACAAAGTAGATATGTATCTGACGAGATGCGTACTCGGTATATGGTTTGTCGTCAGTTTTAATTTTATCATATAAGAATTCTGCAGAGAATCTTGAAGACATTTGTTCTAACATTTGAAATCTCGGTCGTGGCTGAAACAAGTGACAAATCAAATTATCCTCCAGTTAAGTTTATATATTGCAAACAACGTTTGGCAGGACATTCGAATCACCAAAATTGTCACCCAGGTGTTTTAAACTATCAGAAGCGATGCTGCATGGCCACTATGAAAGTCATCTGATGCCAAAATATTTTGTATTCATCACAGTTGTGACTCGTGAAGCTTGAATGACTTTTTGAGCAAGTTGGAACAGCAGCAGCATGTTGGCCTCCACCAATAAAGTGCTTGAATAGCAATTTGTAAAACATATGCCATATGATCCTCATGACTTAACTTTGTTATTTCTGTTTTTAAATTCAATCAGGAGATTATTTATATATTTGACATGAATGCTTATTGATGATGTGAGAAGTGAACAAGCCCTGAATGCTTTGTGAATTGGATTGGTGTTGGCTTAGCAGTTTCCCTGTCAAATGTTTTAAAAAGTTTTCTGGTGTATCTGTGTTTCACCTTTTGGTAAACATTTTACTGTGTAAAGTATTACGATTTAAATAACGGCATTAAGAGTAACTATAACTGGTTTTTGTCAGAATAAGTTCTGTTTGTGACATGATTACTTACAATAAAAATTTTAATTTACTGAATGAAGTTTATGGATTTTAGCAAAAATTAAATTTTCAAGCCCTTTGTTGCAATAATTTCTCTCTGCTGGTTGATCAATGCGGTGAATCAAACATAATTCTAATCATTTTTCACATACAATTGTTGATCACAACTCACAAGTGAAGTTTAACCAAAGAGGTAAGCTGTAGGTGCTTGACAATATGTTTGACATAATGGTAAAGTTGTTAATTTAATTGTAACAATTTATCAATAACTTCATTCTTTAAAAAATTGTAATTTCATATATTGTTTATTAAAAATAAGACAACAAAAAACATCTTTATTTGCAAGTTAATACAAATTTGACAGACATGATAGCCACAGGAACTCAATATACAATTACAAATAAAAACTTTCAATTACAATTATGCAGACAAGCTACGTTGCAAAAAAACTCCGATTCAAGAATCAAATATAAATTAGTTTAGTCCAAATTTTATACCAATAACGTCTTCATCTGAAGAACGTTCTTTACGCACAGTAGGTCGTTTTATCGCTTCTATCCGACCATTCTAATAGGAAACTCTTTACTAGAAAATACAGAAATGGAATCACACTAAATATATTTATTACTTTTGTCCTAAATTATAAATTTTGGGCAACTGCCGTTCAATATAAGAGACGTTCTAAACATGGATCTCGCATACAGTTCAAGGCAAGAAACTATAAAACCCGTAAAATTATATTTGAAGAACGTATTTTACAACAAAAACTGTTTCTCACTTCATATGCTTGGTATCCTATCCGATGGCATTAAAAATTTTGTCCATAAGTGAATTTAAATTCGTCAAATTTTCGAAAAACAACTTTTCATAACATTAATCTATATACATTCTGACCAGTTTATCTGGCTGGATTAATGGCGGACGCAAAAAGATGCACTTAAGAACTGGGTACGTAGGGGACAGATTTTTCGCTGAGTGGCGGTTCTGTATGTATCTATTCTGTGACTGCGCACTCATTGCTTAACCATAATGTAATGCACGCGATGAAGCACGTGATACAATCTAGAGCGCTGCTGACGCTATAGCAAAGAATAGAATACCTTTTGTTTCCATGATGTAAAAAGACACAGTATCACCTTTGTAGATGTGAGACTTTGATAAAACATCAGCTTGATGATATGGAAGAAAAAACAATTCCTGAAAAAAAAGAGCAACGGTTCGAATCATAAAAATCCTCCCCCTGACCGTGCAGACCTGTATTATGCAATGATCTTAAACTCCACCCCCTGACAGTGCAAACCTGTATTATACATTCATTTTAAACTCCACCCCTACAGCAGACCTGTATTATGCAATGATCTTAAACTCTACCCCCTGACCATGCAGACCTGTATATTGCAATTATCTTAAATTCCACCCCTGACAGTGCATAGCTGTATCGTGCAATGATCTTAAACTCCACCCTGACAGTGCATACATGTATCATGCAATGATCTTAAATTCATCTCATCTGATCTAATCCTAATCCCATATTGCACTATATTTTTACTTATCAAAGGCGAGAATACAGTGGCGCTATAATAGCCTCTGATAATTGTGGAGGTGGGGAGGGTAGTGAATGTTTATGTAGGTATGCATGTCAAAAGCCTAAAAATTAATTTAATACGGCAAATATTCATAACAAGCTTTCTATGGTGTGAGGGAAATGATCAAAACCAAAGAAGGAAATAAGGGCGAAAACCTGTTTTAAAAAAGATGAAGTAAATGTCAATAATTTGCAGGCAGTAATCTACACTTTCCCTTATCGTCACGTCACTAACTTTCTTGCCTGTGTCAATTTTGAGATTTTTGCCCAAAGCAACTATTTTGCCCACTGGTGTGTTCTGTATTTTTTGCCCAATAGATAAATGTTCTATAGAAGATGTTGAGTAAAAAGTTTGATACTTTTTATATTTTACATTAATTCTTGTCTCTAAACCCCACCCCAAAAATTGACTTAGGTATAAAAGTTAGCAACGAATGCATAAAAATGGAAGAAGTTCAAACAGTACTTACTCCGTTCACTTATAACTAACGCGACCACATCGGACTCGCCATTGCGAAATAACTGCTAAAAAATAATGATGAAACTTTCTTCAAAAACGACATCACAAACATTCAAAGTACAATAAAACAACAGCCATACACAACTCAAAAAATTCATACACGACCATTAACAACGAGTAATTTTAAGGCAATTTGCATAATGAATAGTGTTGTAGCAATTACGATAACTGGGGAGGTGAACATCCATATATATTCCACATATGCATGTCCTGCCGTATTGAGTTCAATTGTGTTACGCATAAAGACGTGCATAGATGAATTTGTTATCTACCCACCCTCCCATCCCTTAATTAACGCGTTTGCTTCGCCATTCACTATTACATTTTCCCAGCTAATTGATCACGATGAAAATCACCTGTTTGGGGTAGCTGTTTCTCGACAACCTCGCCTCAACTTCCACTTTACCAATAACTCTGTCCTCGCTCTTTTCCTACAATGGAAACATAGTGGACGATTCACCAAAAGACGATTTCTCAATTTCTCGTAAAACTTTGTAAACCAAACCAGGATGAACGTACATACATGCCAAGCGTCAAAAGTACACAAGGTGTCAAGGTCACTTGCTTCAAATGTAACTGAGCCTTGTTCCAATTTCACCACTCGACTTGCAATTGGTTTACCCTTACGAGAATCTGATGTCACTTCAAACTCCTCACTGTCTAAACAAAAAAAAGATTTAATCAACTATCAATATCAATTGAAATGTTTTTTACACTTCAGATTATAGCCCTGAGCAGTGGCCTTTGCAGTAGCAGTAGAGACAATGGGATAGGCGGCGTGGGACGGATGGGTGAAAGATTACAGTGTGAAATTCCCAACAAGTCAATGATCAGTGGTTTGTTCTGACTAGGTAAATAAACAAAAGTTCTGTTTCATTCTACCCACAATAAAACAAAGACTATACATGAGTTTGAAAAGTTGTTTTATAACTAACAGTAACTTTTGGACACACTTTTTTTGCGGACAGAGTCCTTCAGAATACCCATCACATTCACATTAAAAAGACCAGTGCAAGTTGGAATAGCAAAGAACACCCTCATACAACATCGTGAAGGCACGTGAATGCCGCGTGTTGATAACATGAACTGTGGTGGGATTCAGATGGTGGAGATCAAATTTTAAAAGTATACCAACAAAGGCAAGCCCTGGAATCTCCATAGAAATCTCATTCCTTGAGGATGAGCTTCCCTCTCCCAATATGTCGTAAAGTGTCCACCACTGATTGTGGTAGAGAGTGAAAAGTCATATGAGGAAACCCAATGAATTACATGACAAAGAAGGCTTTTCAAATAATGACTGATGAAACAAATGCTCTGAATAACTGGATAAGCCCACAAAAAGAGCTTGTTCCCCTTATTAAATAGCAGAAAGGCAACAAGCCTAAAACTTGAATAATATTGTATCAACATTTCAAAAAAGCAATTTAATACTAATGGTGTAGTTGCACACATAACAAGAAATATAAAAGTCATTGATGGGTGGAAATAAGCAAAATTTACAAACCACCAAGTTCCAGTTCACTTGAATGTCCTTTGTACTGACTGTAATGAAAGAACACTCGAAGATCCTGTTCAGCACACTCAATAAAGCCATAACTTTGCTGCAAAAAAAACATACTAAATGTTATAGAAGAAAGACTGAATGTGCTTTTAGAGGAAATGAACTTAGGGAATACATATCAATAACATTATGGAAGATGTCATTAATACACATGTTGATGTGAAAGCACTCATTGCCTGTCAAATGTAGTTCAATACAGTCAAATATAGATGAATGTATTCAAATGTACATGAATGTATTCAAATGTGGTTAAATGTATTCAAATGTAGATGAATGTATTCAAATGTAATTGAATGTACACAAAAGTAGATGAATGTATTCAAATTTAGATGAATGTATACAAATGTGGTTGAATGAATTCAAATGTGGTTTAATGTCCTCAAACAGGGTGCAAATTAATATTACACAAATGGGCACGCAAATTTCAGTTGAAGGTATTTTCACCATCTTAAGTCAAAATTGATACAATATCTGTCATGTTGGATTAAAGTTCCTATGTCCAATAATGGGACTTGATATCATTAGAATTATTTTAAAACATAGATTACTGGGAAACAGTCTGAATGCAAGTTTCAATAGAAAGCTTTTCAAATTGACCAGAACAAAAATAAGACACCAAACAGTGCAAAACGGTCATAGCTTCCTCTACAAGGGCTATTGAAATCAAAAACATTTTTGGCAAACTTTTAGATATCATGCAAATACACTTTTAGATGAACAAAGTGACATATTTTCGTATATTAAGAAACAAGATTTTGGTCATAGATAAATTTTACTTCTTCAATGTACATCTTATTTTTATTCTGCAGGAAACTTACTTACAAAATAAACACCTTTGTAAAACAGCAGAATCTGCAGCAAACTTGCATTTGTCAATGTCACATAATAATCCATGAAAAACTTTCAAAAAGTCGAGAAGCATTTTTGCAGAAATTTGGGTCCTGACCAGTGCATAAAACTCCATACTAAACTGACTTTGAATTGTAAAATAACTACACAAAGTTTTTAATGACACCTGTTTCCCTGTGTCTTACATGAACACCATTTGAAAGGTAATGGTCACGGATACCTTAGTCCTGAGACCCATTTGTTCGCATGGAATGTTTCTAAGTAGTAAAAAAACATTATAGAATGTTTCTAAGTAGTAATCAAACGTTATAGAATGTTTCTAATTAGTTGGAAAACATTATACAATGTTTCTAAGTAGTAATCAAACGTTATAGAACGATTCTAATTAGTTGGAAAACATTATACAATGTTTCTAAGTAGTAAGAAAACGTCATAGAATGTTTCTAATTTGTAAGAAAACATTATAGAAAGTTTCTAATTAGTAAGAAAACATTATAGAAGGTTTCTAATTATTAGAATAACATTATAGAATGCTTTTAACTAGTAAGAAAACATTATAGAATGTTTCTAATTAGTAGAAAACATTATAGAATGTTTCTAATTAGTAGGAAAACATTATAGAATGTTTCTATTTAGTAAGAAAACATTATAGAATGTTTCTAATTAGTAAGAAAACATTATAGAATGTTTCTAAGTAGTAAGCAAACGTTATAGAATGTTTCTAATTAGTTGGAAAACATTATACAATGTTTCTAGGTAGTAAGAAAACGTCCTAGAATGTTTCTAAGTTGTAAGAAAACATTATAAAACGTTTCTAATTAGTAGGAAACATTATAGAATGTTTCTAATTAGTAAGAAAACATTATAGAATGTTTCTAATTAGTAAGAAAACATTATAGAATGTTTCTAATTAGTAGGAAAACATTATAGAGTGTTTCTAATTAGTTAGAAAACATTATGGAATGTTTCTAGTAGGAAAACATTATAGAATGTTTCTAATTAGTAAGAAAACATCATAGAATGTTTTTAAGTAGTAAGAAAACGTTATAGAATGTTTATAATTACTAGGAAAACATTATAGAATGCTCCTAATTAGTAGGAAAACATTTTAGAATGTTTCTGAGTAGTAAGAAAACGCTATAGAATATTTCTAATTAGTAAGAAAACATTAACAGCAAAATGAAATGTAAATAAATTTTTCATAAACAAAAAACAGTAGGAAGTACCTTCCACGAGTCTGTTGCCATGTTTGATTCACCAAAAAGTGAATTCTATTTGTTACAAAGGCTGTCAGCAGTTTGAATGATAACTTTTCGCAAAATAATATATATGGTATATGTATAAAAATTCTCCTCTCAATTTTCCTAATTCACCGAATAATATAATCCATTTGCCGCACAAAAACAGGAGGCACAAACCTGTGAATAGAAGATTTTTCTGTGTAAGCTATGAATTGCCAATATGAAAGTTTCCTTAACATGGGCTGTGCGAGATGATATGGACTTGGCGGCTTTCTATAGAATTTGAATTGGTGTTTCTCATCTTTTCTGCTTTGCAGACATTTAGTCCTAGCAAATAACCAGAAAACAGTAATTTAACACATTTCTTCAAATATATCATTTGCTCATCATCTAATAACATGGGACATTCAATTACATGTTTTGACTTATCAATAGTGCTGTAGAATATTTATCATCAAGAGCAGCAGTTAACAATAGTAGCACAACATTTATATACATATTTTGTACACTGTCGCGATTGCAACAGACAAATGTGCAACAGTTTATACCTGTTACAACACACTATCTGTTGCACAACATATACATTTATTTATTTAAATGTCTTCTTATCCAAATGATTCAAACTTTTCTTGAATTGAATGCACATTAATGCGACTTGAATATTCCCAATTGTTAAGCAGTATAAATAAATGTCATTGTCTACTGGAGCTCTTGATTCTTCCTTCAAGTTAATGAATATTCTACTGTTCTACTGTTAAGTAAAATATCATAATTGAATGTTCAATCTTCTTTAATGATGAGCGAATGTGTAATAGCATAACACAGGAGTAACAAGAGACAAATCCCACAAAATACTTTACAATAGTGAATAGTACAGAATGAAACTGCACTGGATTCCTTGTGATAAGGGTTTTAATTTTATATACAGCATTATAGCTATTGTAATTATACAAAAGATCAATCTACACTAAGACTGGAACATAAAAGGACTTAAGTTTCGACAACAAATCAATTTTCACAAGACACTAACCACCAGACAAAAAACATGTTCAAACTTTCAACATGAATCAAATCAGATAAAGGCGACTCATAATTTCGAAGTCAAACATACAATTATCATGTGCATATAAATCAGACAAAAGACACGCATTTATCTGTATCTTTAAAAGAGTCGAGGCACATCTAAAGTTTTTTTTCAATTTGGACATTCAATTCTGAGATTCACTTCTTGAAGACATGAAATATGAAACGAAAAATTTTTCATCAAAATATCAAATTGCTTGTCAGTCTTTGTTTCTTAATTTATTTCAATAATGATCATTTAAAAAAACTGTAACGTATAGTTTTAATTAAATTGGATGCCGCAAAAGCAAAAACAAAAGGAAGAATACGAATAGCACACGAATACAGACAAGGAGAATATTTTGCCGTCTGCAAGCTTTGTCAATCGGCTTTGTCTCAAAACATGGTGAGCAATTATTTTAAATTTCAAAAGGTCAAATTAACGCAAACGAAGTACAAGGTGAACAAAAATGCAATGAAATATTTAAGAACTGACAATTAATATTGAAAATGAATTCAATATCTTTTTGATGACAAAATTTCGTCCGTAACCACAACACAATCCAAATTTTACAATCCGCCATATTTCATGACATCAGTGAACCAGTGAACTCAATATTTATACAACTTGAATGAAAGCTGAAGCCAAAATTGAAACCAGTTGGGTAATTCCGCCTCGTGATTTGTACATCTTGTAAAATCTTGTGTCATTGATTCTAAGGCATTTCTTCTTTTCCGTTAATCACCAATCTAAGCCGAAGCACAACGTTAACTAGCATTTGCAATCAAATCACGACACTTGGTAAGAGCTACCGTTGTACATCAAAATATCAAATTGCTTGTCAGTCTTTGTTTCTTAATTTATTTCAATAATGGTCATTTTGAAAAACTGTAACGTATAGTTTTAATCAAATTGGATGCCGCAAAGCAAAACAAAAGGAAGAGTACGAATAGCACACAAACAAATACAGGCAAGGAGAATATTTTGCCGTCTGCTGAGTCTTTGTTAATCTGCTTGTCTCAAAACATGGTGACTATTGATTGTCAATTTAAAAGGTCAACTAAACGCCAACAGAGTAGCTACAAAGTGAACAAAATGTAATGAAATATTTAAGAACTGACAATTGATATTGAAAAGGAAATCAATACCTTTTGAGGACAAAATTTCGTCCGTAACCACAACACTATCCAAATTTTACAATCCGCTATATTACATGACATCAATGAAGTCCATAGATATAATAGGACTAGATTGCTGACGAGCCGCCATATTGCGTAACATCCATGATAAAAAGAAGATGGCGTGGTAACCGGGCAAAAAACATAGAGTCACTATAGGGCAATTGATGTTTTTCGCAATTTACTTCTTCTCATTGTTTTCAAACTCTTCCGATGAAGTCTTATTGGAAACAAATCCTATTTCAAGTGTTTTAAACCATATTGGACAGTTATAATTGAAATACGGGTGAAATTTTCGCTTTCGAAATATTGTGTAAATTGGTCGTTTGGTTGTCTCAAGTCGTTTGTCCACTAAGAGAAACAGATTTTTTCAGCTTTAACTCCCATACTGATTTGTTGCGCATCGGAATATGTCATATTGACAATTTACAGAAAGATTGGGGAATCAATCTGAATATTTTTGACAAAAAGACTTATTCGAGAAAGCACCCCACTGTACTCGTACTGGTATGTGAGATATGTGAGATTCAAACACGGTTTAGAAAGGCCATCCAACTTTGAATGAATGAAAAGAGGAGCAAAGAGGTACATAACACTGCAGCACTATTATCTACTGACAAGATCTTAGTGAAGCTATTAAAGTTAGTAAACTTAACTGAAGGAAACTTATCTCATCTCAAGTAATTGTATCCAAGAGCATTGGCTATACTGATGAGATCTTACAGCCAAGTGGTTCAACGAAAGAGAAGGAACTTTGTTCAGAAGCTTGTTATATTAACAGTGGTTATTTCAAAATCTGACATATAACATTCAAACACATAACCCAAGATACTGTTACAATACTCTGTATAAATTATTTTTACCAGAGCTAAGGTGTTCATTAAATTTATATATTATCTTATGAAATATTTGATATGGATGTCATCGGTGGCATATCCAGAATGAATGTTTTACACTTCCTATGAAAATTTCACTGCATGATTGCTTATTTCATTAGAAATCTATTGTTTTTACAGTGAGTGACAACAGCAAGATTGAGATAGCATGAGCAAATAAAATGCTGGCTATGGCTGAGATTATTATAAGATATAGCTGTGAATAAAATATATGTGTCTTTTATGCTTATCATACTTAGTTATAGTATATGTTTTTATTATGCTAGAGCTACAACACCATCTATGATACCAGTTGTTTCTAATGGCAATACAATTTTATAACTGCAAATGTCTAAATTGCATCACATTATTAACATGCAACTAATGACTTCTGACAAAATTATATCATACTGCTCAGTTTGTTCATTTTATGACACTTACGTACAAAGATAAGTAAACTACTGATATTTCTTTGTTCAATACATGACAGCCCAGCAACTGCCAACTGCTCTGTTGTAAGTGAAAGCAAGCTAGCTGAAGAGACACAAAATGTTGATAGGAGAGTTACAGCATTATTAAACAGTTCCACTCTTTGGCATGATGATGTACTGACCTATATCAGTGGATACATAGCCAAGAAAATTACAAGTTGCATCAAGTGCTGAATGTGCAACTGTTTTAACCATAGAGAATGATGACCAACCTCTCATACCTGACCACTCACTGTCATGAAGGTTCAAAGTCAAGCTTAACATCTTTCAAGACCTATGGCAAGCTTACAAGTCCATCCTCCTCATTGGTAGTAAAAGCAGCAGATAAAGCCCTTCGCAAAATGGTCAACAAGTGGAGTCATGAGAAAAACAATCCAAGTTATGCAACGAGATGTCCTGCAAGAAACTAAGCCAAATGTATGTTAATCGCTATTGCAGCATTCTAAGGAAACTCATGCACTAGATGAGAGCTTTTGCGATGACCATATCACCATCCTTATCAAAAAAATAGCATACATGTACAGTAAAATATTTGTGCACCAGTTTTCCAAAGTGTACTCCGAGAGGATCGTTCGTAAATGAGCTCCATCTAAGCGGGCAAAGCTGACAAAACTCATCCTTTTGAAACGATTAAGACTCTGTCTGTTATGTCAAAACATATTTGAAGATTGAAAGAACGAATAGCATCTTGAAGTGAAATTTATGTAAAAATATGAAGATTAATTTTCCCATCTTTTGTATGGATTCAATATGATGTATTTCAACGTGGACGAACCAGTATGGGAGCTAAAGCAGACGAAATCCGTTTATTTTGGTACAAACGCCTCGAGACAACCAAACGACCAATTTACACAACACTTCATAAGCGATATTTTCGCACGTATTCCAATAAGAATTGTCCAATATGGCTTCAAAACATTATTAATAACGCTTTGTTTCCAATAAAACTTGATTGGAGAGTTTGAAAACACTGAAAGGGTAAACTGCAAAAAACAGCAATTGCCTAATAGTAGCCCTAAGTTTTTTGCCCGGTTCAAGCGCCATCTTGGATTTATCATGAATGTCACGCTGCCGTCTTAATAAGTCTTATATTACGTCACACTCGTCAGCGATCTAGTCCTATTATATCTATGGTGAAGTCTTGAAAGTTAAAACACCGGGCACTTCCGGTCATCTGTAAACGTGACGTATTAACCGGGGATACTCGTGAGAGGGTCGGCTATGTTTTCCGTGACTATAGCCTGATTCGTTGATTCACAAAAGTCTTAAATACCTTCATAAAGATACCTTTATGTTTCATTGTAATCACTCTGTGTTTCTGTATTTGTAGCAAGTTGATATTTTCCGTAAATAAAGCATAATTCGAAAACAAATGTAAGTTATGGCCGCGTTTAAACAGAGATCAATCTTTCGGTGGTGTTCAGGCC